CCCCGCGCCACCCGCGCGCCGCGAGAGCCTCACCAAGAAGGCCAAGCGCTTCCTTGCCAACCTGGTGCCCCGCAACGCCAAGTTCTTCAAGCAGCGCTCTAGGTCGTGTCACGACCTCTCCGTGCTCTGAGCCGCGGTCGCCATGGTCACCGCGGTCGCCATGGTCACCACGGTCGCCATGGTCACCACTCTCGGCTCGCCCCCTCGCCCCGCCACGCCCTGTCCGACTTCCTTTGTGAAGACAGCCAAGGCTGGGGGGCGGGGGGGTTGTAGACTAGGAAACCAAAAACTCCCAGGACGCCCTGGTGTGACCACGGTTAGAGGGGGGAGGGGGCGGTCTCTGAAATACCCCCTCCGCCCCTGGGCGCAGGAGGCAGTGCTCAGACCCGAGGGCGGGCGCGCCGGCGGGCAGGAAGGAAAATCGTTCTGCAAGGTACGGTATTTTGTTCATTACTTCGCGCTTTACCACCTCTCCGGTAGAGACCCTAAAACCGAGAACTGGAAAAGTGCTTGGTAGACTCTTTTACAGGGTTTTCCACCTTTGTACTGTGCACGAATATGCCTCACCTTTAAGAGATTCTTAAAGGTAAAGACACGGAGACCCTTCTTGGAGCTTTTCCTATAACGTTCTGGCTCTTATCTGCTGCACTTGTCCACTTTGCCTTTAAGAAGTTCTTAAAGGCTAGGGCCTGGTAGTGCTATTTTTTGAGAACTGATTTTGTGATTTATCACTACACCACGGCACTTCCCCTTTAAGGCTCTTAAAGGTAAGGTGTGGACAGACTTTTGCCTTCAGATGCCAGGGTGAGGAGCTGAGCGGGTGGTAACTCCCCTTTGGCCAGGGCCCAGGAGGTACCAGCAAGGGTCCACCCTTCCCTTTTGAATAAAGAATTTTTCTACTGCACCTGTTCACTTTGACTTTGTTTTCAACGCCCCCACAGAAGGGATGGATGTGGGAAACTCTTGTTTGTTACAGACAAGAAAACTCAGGCCCGAAGGAGCAAGGAACCTAACTCTCTAGGGAGGCCTGGGAACTGACTGAGTCCTGATGTAGTCCGTGACCCGTGACCACAGCCCCTTAGAGATAATTGGGTCTAACTCGTGCCATTGCCTTGCCGTTGAAGAAACAGGCCTGGAGAGGCGCTAGAAGCAATTTAGTAACTTAGTGCCACGTAGTACCAAGTACCCATCTCTTGGCCCTACCTTCTACTGCAAGAAGCGGGCTAGAGGCTACAGTGAGCTCCCAGAGCTACATTCAGCTGTGACCGGGACTGGTTCCAGGTGAGGCCCACGCCCACCAGAGAGGCCCACCAGCTGGGTCAGGACGGGGTCAGCCTGCACCTCCCCTGTCAGGGCTCCACCACCCAGCTGTCACCTGCAAAGCCCGGGTGAGAACTGAAGCTGTCAGTGCCTTCCCTGCTAACGCCCACGCCTGCTGCTGCCTGAGCCACGAGTTTGAACAAAGGGAACAGAGGCAGCAGCTCCCCTCACACTTACACATGCAGTACAGTTACCTGAGCACCCAGGGGCCAGGCCTCCGCCTCACCCCACTCAGGTTCCCAGAACTCGATGGAAAGAGGAAGGAGATGTCTGTCTTCTTAGTCCTTACAGCTGCAGAGGGCCAAGTGAGACCAGCCCAGCATGAGATAATATGATAGTGACACTATCCTTAAGACTTTATTCACTTTATCTGTTAATTCTTTAATGACTATATAAGGTGTTACTACCTGTTTTTACTGTGGAAGAAACAGAGTTTAAGTAACCTGTCTGAGAGGTCAATAAGCAGAGCTGGGATTCCACTCATGTCTGCTGATATTTAATGATTTTATCAACCTTTGCATCTGAGGTTCCCTTTCCAGTAAGGATGCGGGGGGGGGGGGGAGGCGGGGGGGAAATGGGAAATATAAA